ATATAATGAGGCCCAAATGAACTTGGAAAGTCCAATAAATTTTACTAAGAAGCAAGCTCCCCGCCGATATCAACTATGTTTTGTATTTATATTATGGGATTAGAGTTATCAATCCACGCAATCATCACGGAACGATAAAGCGCATAGCTTTAAAGTGAAAGCATAAAATTATGAAATTTTTACCTGACAAAACTGGGACAACAATACGGCTGCAAAAACGAACTGTTTGGCCCGCGCGTGATCAAGCGTTATATCACGGCTTTCCATTGCTTTACGGGAATAAAACCGAAACTCGTGCGGATGGGCCGAATTGTTCACCGGGTAGCGACTGCGATTGAATGACCGAAATCTGCAAACAGGCTGATTATTTTCACATTCCTACAGCTGCGCAATAAGAACAACACAACAGTTCCAGAATTCCAGTTATATTTCTAGCATTGATGTATGCGAAACAGGTGCATTTTTGAGCTTTGTTGTTCAATAAACTTCAAATGCAACTTTCGATGATTACCGGTTGAATAAACCTTTTGGCGAGTTTTTCGAATCGGCGCAATCGTTCTCACAGGATTCGGAAGATCGCAAATGCGACATATACTGCCGATTGTTTTCCACACTCTATAAAACGAAAAAAAAACACATTTTTGGGAGATCTTACGAAACATAAAGGGACTGCAAATCACCAAATAAAGTTGCATTACTGATATCGCTACAAATATGACTTTATTAAAAATCCACATCATTAAACAGGCAAGCCTGCTGAGCTGGTAATCCTTTTCGAAACAAAACCGAAGTAAGGATCACAAGCAAGCTGACTACCAAGCAATTTAGCACTCCTCGAGGAAATCGGAAAAGTTAGCAACTGTATACTAAAAAACTACACTTTAAATTAGCAGCTATTCTAAGTATTCGAAGTATCTACATAAAATAATACTGTCAGAAACTCTTCAAATAATAAAATTTCCATAAAATATTTGGAAATTATAAAAATTGGCCAACGCACGGGCTGCCCGTACGAAGATGCGTTTTTTGCAGAGTTCCCCGCAGTTT